GCACATTAGAAGATTCAAAGAATAAATTAGAGTTTTAGCATCGTAGTTATTGTCTGAAGCGTCAGTTATTTTGTATGCAAATGACATCGCTATTACCCGTTCAGACAAAAAATATGAATGTTTTTGAGGTAGATGTAAATAACAGTCTTAATATTTTGGCCGCGTATTTAAAATAAAATAACTTATGTTAGAAATTAATATAAATAAAACTAAGCACTTGTACAGTACTGTATTATTGTTTTTAAATTGGAATAAACAATTTTCACGTTATTGAAAAAATAAACTCCATTAAATATTTCGGTATACTTATTGACGAGAAAAGTCGAGAGGAAATTACTATATAACTTCGCAATTATTTAGATTCGATGGTTTAATAAGTAAAATAACAGGTTGTACAGTACTAGTAAAAAATATTACTAGAAATTTATATGCTTTTTTTGTGGAACGCAAAATAAAATATTCTTAGGGTTTGGGGTTCTGGCTAGGTTTATATTACTCATAAAATACAACTATTTATAAATCACTTTGTTAAAATACTATTACATTCGAAAAGAGTAGATTCCATTATTAATTATATATCCGAATATCACGTTAATGTTGTTTTATTATTACTATAAAATAGTCATTTCTCTTTTGTATAAGTATTATTTTGAGGAATAGTGTTATATCATCCATTGAAACTACTTATGGTGGAATTCGTATCTCTGAAATTAGAAATTTTAATATTAGACGTCTTGTTTGACAATGGGAGAAATTTCTTCGTATTATAAAGTCATAAACCATCGGAACAAATTGCTTCGGATATAAAAATAGTGAACTAAAGGGAAACTTGTTGCAAACTTTGCAAGAAATAGCTTGCACTTTTTAAATTTTCAAAAACATTTCTTTAATTGAATAGCACATAAATCAGCAATATTTTATTGTGACATTGACATCGTCACAATGCTGGGCTGTAATTTTTAATTATAATTTTAAATTTGTTGATTTTTTTCGGTTTAGTTTGTCTGTAGGCACGTGAAAAAGGCCTAATAGTCCTAGTATCTTTTCTGTAAAGCAAATAAAGAAATAAAAAATTATTTAATTTAAAATATATGCTCTCCACCTCAAATTAGTTATGGCTTGCCCCTGTACATCATACTTTTCCTTTAACAATAGAGTCGTGCTGGTCATTTATCTAACTCTTTTCAGGGGAAAACAAACGGATGACGATTGTAGACTTTAAATTGTTAAAATATAAAATTTCAAATCTTTTCATTAATGTTTTTAAAAATGAATCACATTTTTTAAATGTGTCACTTAAACTGGTTCCGATTTCTTTAACAACTCTCAAATCTTTATCTGAAAAATTGCTCAATTATCTTACTTTTTCCAACTGTCTATCTTCGTGATACATCGTACAGAACACAGCATAAAATCTATTTGAATATAAATAGAATATACAAGTTTGTATGTAGAACAAACACATATCGGAACATTGGCGAAATCTTTGTCGTAAAATAAAAAGCGGAATAAATTAAAATACAGTAGCCCTCGTATATCGTGCATTTTTTTTTCTTGTTATCCGAATTTTAAAAGCACTCGAGTTAATAAATTTTAAAATATTAATTGTCATTGAATTTCTTTTGTAACGAAATACCGTATTTTATTCCTACTATCGTCCTTGAAACTACAACTGCAAGTAAAACAATAAATTTGTCAAGATCTAAATAAGCAAAACAAGTGACCAATTATCATTTATGTTTCCTTTTGACATTAAAAGTTATTTATTTATTGGTTTTAAGTACCTCTCCTCATTTACAAGTTTCAGTGAATTCAAGATTTCACACCTTTATGTGAATTGACACTATGTGTGAAATTTCTAATTCACAGCATAATGTGTTAGGAAAAGATTTCTTTCTGAACGGAAAATTCAACAAACTTTTATACAATAGTAATTTTATTTTGCTTTTTAGAGAATTTTTACTCTTTGTAATTTTATAAGTTTTGATGTTCTATTGTATGTTTAATATTTATTTTTTAAATTTTCAATTACTTTATTTATAATTTTGTTGAAAAATATAAGTAACGCGAATTTTTAATAAGAGATTTATTGTGAAATATAGTATTGTATAATAAAATCGCAACTGATATTTTGTTTTTATATCGATGATATTTGCTTTAAATGTCATTGTTAAAGAAACAATAATACTAAAGAGATGTTCGTGGTATCGATGTTTACGTAAACGTCAATTAATATGATAAAACCACGAATAAAATTCAGTACTGAAAAACTAAGCTTATTTTATATTAGAAACACTTGCTGATGAAAGAATAGAGGATAGAGATTCCATAGTATGTATAATGTGTTTAGTATAAGCCCAGAATTTTTAGTACTCGGTTATATCACGCTTTTTCTTTATCTCCCGACAAGCACGATATAACAAGGGGCTATTGTATTAGATTTTATACTAATCATTAAGTAAATTTTAATCAAACAGAACATAATTTTTTCAGTTTAATAAATTTATCTATTTTTAAATATTCTGTATATGTTAAACATAAAACAAAACAGTATTGTTAAAAAAAATTATTTTTAACTTTATACATTCTCACCTGGATGAATCCAATTCTATCAATCAGACTGCCTTCTTTAATCCTCTTAATAAATGCATACCCTGCACCATTATCAGTTATAGTTAAGCCCAACGCATCTTCTGTTTTTGTAATTTCCACTTCTTTAGCTTGTCCTTTCCTATGTATAAAAANAAACGTCAATTAATACGATATAACCAGGAATAAAATTCAGTATTGCAAAACTAAGCTTACGTTATATTAGAAACACTTGCCGATGAAAGAATTGGAGGATAGAGGTATCATAGCATGTATACTTTGTTTAGTAAAAGCCCAGAATTTTTAGTACGCGATTATATCGCGGCGCCGGATATAACGAGCTTTTTCTTTGTCTCCCGACAAGCGCGATATGATGAGGAGCTACTGTAGAAATAAATTAAAATAACAACACAAACATAACGTAAATTGGACACAGCGGTTATATAATAAAATATAAGTACCTTAAATCAATAAAAAGACAAAGTCGAACTCCTTTTTATTGCACTAATATTTACATTATCTATTTCCATGCCAACAATACGTACCTTGCAGGTCGTTCTGTGTGATTGTGTATGGTTGTTCTTTGTGATTTATTACTTTTGTTTTGCTCCTAGCAGTTATGAGCAGCGTCGCGTTCTTTAAATGGGGGTGTTCTCTGGTAACGCCAATATGACGACTGTTGCGTAATTTGTTTTCTTTGCGCTGTATTCGTGCTCCTTAAGTCGCGTAGCTAGGTTGAAAGACATGTAGGCGATGTATTGCCGATCATATTCCCGTAGCCTACAGTGTGAGATATTTCGTAAATAACCGCGGTTGTTTACAAAAATACCTCTCACTGTAGGGGCTTTTTCTATCTATGGGGCTAAGAATCCCATAGAGTCTCATGTTACGAGGTCTTTAGCGTTACAAGAGAAATCCTAACCCGTGGGGTTATGTTCGTATGCTACTTCCCATTCGCGTTACGTATCGCGAATAAGCTTGCTGTTTATTACTATAGCTTGCAATTTTAATTGCAATTTAATTGCAAAAATTTTTTGCAATTTAATTAATTGCAAAAAAATAGTATTCTGTTCGTAACATTACTCTGAAGATACGTAATAACAGATTTTTGGTATTTTACTTAGACCCATAGAAATTTAATCGTTGCATGTAAAGTACTGTGCGTACTGGTGGACAAATTAATACATAAATGGATAACTTACAGACTGTAAAGACAGACAGGCCCATAGGTAGAAATACAAAAAAGAAATTATGGTAATAATATATCCTGATTTACTCAGCTGATCTGAATTATTCAGTAATTTTCAACAAATATGAATTTTCCTTATAATATAAATAATACATTGACTTTAAACATTCACTTATATCGAAAATTTCATAAACAAACTTAGTTTGAATATATAATTGGAATATCAGTTTTTTAAACGATAGTTTGCCTTTAGTTGAAAAAAAAAAATTAATGCAGAAGCGACTTTTAATTACAAAACTATCGATAATAATATAATGTAGGGCAGGCGAACTTTTTTGAGTCCGCTACCATATATAGCAAACATGCTTATCTTTGAAAATGTTTATGCGTGCCGAAGTTTTAGACTTCGATTAACGATACCAAAGAAACAAAACGAATATGCTTTAATTAGAATAAATGTAAAGAAACTGTTTGGAAAAACAGGTCAACTGAAAGGATGATTGAAAAAAGAAAGGTGATAAGCCGAAATCGCATGTTACGTTACGTGTCAGATGATTTATTCCGATGTATACTTTGGGGATGCGTGTTTTAGGTTCGCTACCCCTTATCTAGAATATCCTCTTGTAATAATATGCGGCTCGCTACCACAAATTCTTCGCGTACGTTAATAGCATCGGAAAAATGCTCCCGAATACTTTTGTTTTCAATTCCGCATAAACCGCCATCGAAATGTAACCGATTGCCGGCGCACCGAATACGGTTCTTCTACTCCGTCCATCCGAGTGTGGACTCACGACCACCCTTTGCAGATGCGGCTTCGTATCTCAATTTCAAGTTTTATTTCTGACAGTCGTTTCGCAATCCTGTAAAATCGTATGGAATCGTGCGCAAATCGAAGTCATGCTCAAAGTCTATCTTATCTGCAAACATTCCGACCAATTGGAGGACGATAAAATCGCGAAACATTCCGGTAACGGACTGCCGACATTTTTCATATTGAAGATTTCACATTTTATTCTTGTTCCACATGAAAATATTCACGTCGTAACGATTCGAATCTTACTTGTAGAAGGAATATTTAATTTCGAGGAGCACACAGAATCTATATTCTTGTATTAGAAACATTATTTTAAAATAGATTAAATTAAATTAAAAAAAAATATAATCACTATTTACATTTAAGAAACTTAGATTAAATTTTGAAACAGTATTTATTCGATAGGTTTGGGGTGTTATTGTTCTTTGTATCACTACTTGGACCAAGGATACGTCTTCGGCTATAGAAGATTCTTCCACTATCGAAGCCGTGTACGGCGATTCACCTAAAGTATCCATATTAATTGGAATACTTCTTATGATACTAGGAATTTTCTCGTTTTTCATCGATTTTGGAAATAGCATCGATTATCGATTGGTAAGTAAAGCTTACATGTTTTAAAATAAAAAAATAATGTACTGTATTTAAATATATTTTCATTGCGTTTCTCGTTTATTATTAGATCGGAGGAGTTTTATTGACAACTTTAATCCTTTCGCTGGTGGCTCTCAGCTTGGCTTTAAGTGACGAAAATGAGTTAACAAAAGCGCTCCAAGAAGTAAGCCTTAAACCTATTTATATACTTAATTTATATAAATGAAATTAAATGCAAACAAAATATGCCTTCCTAATCTTCAGTTTCGGAGTTCCTAAACTAAAAAGCAATACAATTCCGAGGCGACACGTCGTAAACGGAAAATTTAAGTTCGAAAAGAATTATTTATTTGCGTGAATAAAATAGAAACGGCTGCACAATAAATTTATTTTTTATACTAGCTTTTACCCGCGATTTCGCCCGCGAAAATTTTGCAAGCAAACCCTATTTATATTCAGTATTTCAACAACCATAGTAATTGTTATATAACACCTTTCGCTGAGAATGATGAGAATTGCCGAGAATCAAACGAACTATTTTCGATTTGATCAATTTTCTGGAACGTTTACAATCATTCTATAATCGAACCAATATGCAATAACAAATTCGAATTTAAAACGGTTCGAACATTTTTTAAATTGAAATATATAAAAATATTTAAACAATGTCTGAAATGTGATCAATTTAATACACCTAAGTACTCGATGAAGACTAAACGTAGTTGAAAACAAAAAATCGCATCTAAAATAGTACAGTAGAAGCCATTCTTCCGGTTAAGCTTAATCCTCTCCCTCTCCCCCCGCGGGAGAATTTAGAAAAATCCCTTCTTAGTGTCCATTCTCATGGCATACCCTACTAAAACGCATACAATACGAATACGAAATAACAAATTCGAATTTAAAACGGTTCGAACATTTTTAAAATCGAAATGGATAAAAATATTTATAACAATGTCTGAAATGTTATTAATTTAATACACCTAAGTACTCGATGAAAACTATATTCTCTCCCTCACCCCC